ATATATGGGTGTCCGTTTTTCATCCGTAAATGGACATACAGAACGCCCATGGCACTCAAAGTCACATCAAAGTAGTGCTGAAACCTTTTCAAAGGTTTCTACTTTGATGTAACTTTGATATGACAATACAGTCTCTGGCACTCAAAGTCTCATCAAAATAGTGCAGGAACCTTTCCAAAGTAGGGTTGCCACCTCATCCCTTCAAAACTGAACACATAATATTCACACAGGTTCTGGGGCTAATTTATTACAGATAAGGCACTAAACGAGTTTAATTACCACCTTAATCAGCCCCAGAACCTGTGTGATTAATATGTGTTCGGTTTTAAAGGGATGAGGTGGCAACCCTAATCCAAAGTCACTGCGACTTTGAAAGAGTTCCTGCACTACTGTGATGGGACTTTACGTTCTCTGGCTCATCACATGCAGGAACCTTTTCAAAGTCACAGTGACTTTTAAAAGGTTCCTGCACTACTTTGATGCGACTTGAGTGGCAGTTGCATCAACACATTATCGCACTCAGTACTTTCCTTTTGGCCAAAAAAAAGTTAAATGCTTCATAAATGCAACACTTGCGTTCTTGCTGCAGTCCAATTCAAGTCTATTGCACGAAAAACGCAATCTTCTGCAGGAAAAAAAAAAGTCCTTGACCGGTTCCAAAACCGCAGTGGCTGAAAACATATAGATGTGAACGTTTCCTATAGGAAACCATGTTAAATGGACTGTAGTGCCTTTCTGCAAAACGCACTAAAAAATGCATAGGTGTGAACCAGGCTGCAAACCCTGAAGCTGGCCATAAAAGCATCAACAATCTAAAAAAAAATCTATCAGATTCCTCCATCCATACTAAACAGCACAGATGGATGAATCTCCTCTGCTGGCTACTGTATTCGGACAGCTGGTGCCCATGGCTGTACAGAATACCCAAATAGCAGCTTCTTCTGTTTGGACACCGGCACTGTTCTCCCAACAATTTTCCATCCGGCACCTAAAACAAAAGTCGATTGAACGGTGGTGACAAAAGGGAAACCCATGTCTCAAATTTATTCTGGTTCAGCATGAATTGTCAGAAATTCTAGCTGTGTATGGCAGGCTTTTCTCACATGGGTGGCACACTTTACCACCCTCTAAAAAAGTGATCCGCAGTGGATCTCTTTTCAGACTGTGGTTGACAGTTAGTTTATAGGCGTTCCAGAAGCGATACCACATACACCTGTTTTTCTATCCCACTGGAGATTGAACTACCGTGCCATAGCTGTGCTTGGCAGGCAGTTGCCGTACCATCCCATTACCTTTAATGAGTGAATTGGACAGGCAGCACCACATGCTGAGTTAAACTCGATTTGTAGCATCGTGGCTGCGGCGATGTGAACTCACTTCTCCCACCACCATGTAAATCTTGAGGTGGGCTGTTGAGGTTGGGGCCCCTTTGCTTCTAATGTGGGGTGTGGTGCCCTCTGAAGAGCGCTTCACTTTCAGATCTCTTTTCAGACAGCTTTTGACAGGCAGTGAGGAAGCATTATATTGCCTCCTCACCACCTGATTTAACCCTATGATGCCTTACTACTGCACCGCAATTGCATACATTGCACGTGGTTGTGGTGCAGCCCCATTGAACTCAAAGGGTGAGTTTGACAAATGGTGCCACTTGGCAAACTTTGCACCCCAAGTTAAAAATGTTGACGCATGTGAACAACCCTGTCTGGCTGTTATTTTACAGTTTGGGTGGGTGACTAAGGGGTATGGGGGGAAGGGGGTTGCACCAGTTTTTACTGCCCCCTGATCTGAAAGAGACCTTACTGTGCTGACTGTACTTATTCCAGTCTGAATGTTGTACAGCTGGCTTAAAGTGGTATTGACCCCAAAACTAAAAAGTTAATATAGTTCAGCTTACTAATCATTAGTCGTGGTGGCTACATTAGTTTTCTTTTCTATAGGCTTTCTTCCCTCTGTTTTCACCTGCTGATCTAGCCAGTAACACACCTCCAGGATTAGTGAGACACCACTCTGGAGGAATGAGCACAGGGGGCATAACTGAACAGCAGAAATGTCCGAGTGGAGGAGAGTGTTAGACTTGCTTCACATATATGCAATTTGCATTTGATGCTTTCTCCAGAGCTTTTTGCAGTTTGTTTTGCGTTTTTCTACACGTGTTTTTGACACGTTTTTACCGTGTTTTGTTCAGCTGTTTTGTTTTGTTAAAGTGGAATTTTTTTTTTACTGGGCAAAAAAAAATGCAAATCGCGGAAAAAAACGCGCTACCATGCATTTCAGCGGCTACGCCACTGAACTCTATTGTAGCAAAAATGCTGTGCTTTGTTTCTAAAAAAGTCCCCGATTCTTTCCAAAAATGCAGCAGCTCAAAAAAAAAAAAAAAAAGCATAGATGTGAACATGTTCCATAGGAAACCATGTTAAAAGGACTGTAGTGTGTTTCTGAAAAAAGCACTAAAAACGCATTGGTGTGAACTGAGCCTTAGATGTAATACCAGCTTTAAATACACTAACAAAGTGAAGCCAAACTCCAGCACACACTTTATAATCAGTTACAGCAAATATTTCTTTCCTTTTGGGATAAAAGTTTTACATAAATGTATTTATTTTATTCATTACAGGTACTTATAGCGCCGTCAATTTACACAGTGCTTTACATACATATATTGTACATTCACATCAGTCCCTAACCCTCAAGGGGTGTACAATCTAAGGTCCCCAACTTATATTCATACATACACATATTAGGGCCAATTTAGACAGGATCCAATCAGGGGCAGACTGACAACTCATGGGGCCCCCGGGCAATAGGGGATCATGGGGCCCCTGTGTCCTTGCCCAAACTCAAAAAACCTATGAAAAAGGTACCAGGGGCATCTCATGGGGCCCCCTACTGACCCCGGGCAGTGCCCGAGTTTCCAAATGGTCAGTCCACCCCTGGATCCAAATAACCTACCAGCATGTCTTTGGAGCGTGGGAGGAAACCGGATAAAAGCTGATCATTGTATGCACTCCTGCTTGTGATATATAGTTTGTCTTACATCTGTAACTGATACATTCTGCTGGATACCTTATGCTTTGGAAGAACAACAGACCTACTAGCCAGATCACCAAATGGAAATAGAATAAAGAAAGCCTACCAAAAAACTGATGCAGCTATCTAATAATTGGCAAGCTGCAATATAATACATTTGCTTTTGAGTTTAATAACACTTTAAAGTGGATACAAAGGCTGAAGGTTTTTTACTTTCATGTATTCTATGCATTAAGGTAAATATCCTTCTGTGTGTTGCTCCCCCCCCCCCCCCCCCAATACTCACCTGAGTCCCCTCTCGATCCAGCGATGTGCACGGATGTCTTGGCTGTCCCGAATCTCTCTCTCCTCATTGGCTGAGAGAGCAGTGGGAGCGATTGGCTCTCACTGCTGTCAATCACAGCCAGTGAGCCAATGAGGACAGAGCAGGGCTGAAGCTGAGTATGATCTTATGGATGCATAGATCAGGGCTCAGGAGCAAGCGCACACCAGTGCCCCCATAGAAAGCAGCTTGCTATTGGAGGCACTGGTCAAGGGAGAGAAGCCAGGATCACCAGCGGGGGACCTGACAAGAAGAGGATCGGGGATGCTCTGTGCCAAACCATTGAACAGAGCAGGCAAGTATGGCATGTTGGTTATTAAAAAAAAAAATTAAACTTTATTTTTAGAAAAACTTATAAGTAATTTCAATGAATACATACATTTATTGAACGGGGGGGGGTCCGTTTTATCTGGTACCTAGACCTCAAATTGAGTAAAGCAAGTTTCTTTATTGCACCCATCCCCCTCATTGTCACGTCGTAGGTATGTAAGCAACATTTCACTTATAAGCGCTCATTTCCCCGCAGTAAAAGTAGTGGCTATCACGGTATATTTTCCTTTATTAAACAGACTTTTAAACAGGATTTCTGCATCTACAAATCCAAAGCCGTTCCATGGCCCAGATATAATCCGCTGAATACAGCGCACATTAAGGGAAAACACACCCTGCCCACATTACTGGAACAACAGATAGCGTGTAGTCCATTCTCCCCGACTCGTGTTTGATAACAGAGCAGTCCCATGTGGCTCCGCTACATAACTAGATTTAAAATAAAAAAATAAATAAATATATCAAAGCGGCAAAAGAAAAAAAAAAAAAAGGGAGCTAAATGGATACAAGTCTGGATCCCACTAGGCCTGCGAGCTGCAATCTTATTTGAATTCAGGTTGTAGCAGAATTAATTCAGTAAGGAAGCAATCACTTGACTAGCAGACAAGAGATGAGGGCTGTGGTTACATTAGGAGTCTCACCCGCCATTAATTGAAGAGTGGGGTATGGGGGGGGGGGACTTGAACTTGTGAACTCTGTCTGTCTGTCCGTCTGTCTGGGAAATTCAGAACATAGGCATATAGCAGCTCTCTTTCCATGGATGGGCTAGGAAACCATTTCCAAAAAATTAATGGGTCCTTCTAAAAGGACGCAAGTTATATATATATCAAATTTGTACACTAAATTTTACAATGTTTTGCACAGCACGTAAAATGACATTTTGTTTTACTTGTTTGCGCAGCGTACCTTAGGCTACTTTCACAGCCATCCACGGCAAAAATGCATGTGTTTTTGCCACATTTGCATTGTGCATTTTTTAACCTTTTGCCCTCCAGAGGATCCCCCCCCCCCCCCTTCCTGACCAGGCCATTTTTGCGTTACGGCGCTGCGTTACTTTGACTGACAATTGCGCAGTCATACAACGCTGCACCCAAATGAAATGTAAGTCCTTTTTTTTCCACGACTTGAGCTTTCTTTCACTGGTATTTGATCGCCTGTGCGGTTTTTATTTTTTGCTCTATTAAAAAAAAAAACACACTTTTGAGAAAAAAACTTATTTTACTTTTTGCTATTAAACATGTCCAGTAAAAATATTTTAGAAAATCAAATTTCGTCAAATTTACGCCAAAATGCATTCTGCTACATGTCTTTGCTAAAAAAAAAAAATCACAATACGTGTAAATTAATTGGTTTACGTGAAAGTTATAGCATTTACAAATGGCGGTATACATGCTGGGATTTTTTTTTTTTTTTTTTTTACTAGTAATGTCGGCGATCAGCGACTTATAGCGGGACTGCGGTGGGCATTCTGACACTGAGGGGAACTAGCTTGGTGTCACTGACATCCCCCAGTGACACCAATACAGTGATCAGTGCTAAAAAAAAGCACTGGCACTGTACTAATGGCACTGGGCAGGAAGGGGTTAGCGTGAGGGGCGATCAAAGGGTTAACTGTGTGCAGGGAGTGTTTTACTAGGGGACGGGATGTGTGTGCGCCTCCTACCCGGAAATGCAAAATCATGTATTCTCCTAGATTGTAAGCATCAAGGATCAGGCCCTCCTAACCCTCTTGTATTGAACTGTATTGTTGCTGTATTGTTTCCCGTTGTATTGTAAAGCGCTGAGCAAACTGTTGGCGCTATATAAATCCTGTATAATAATAATAATAATGTATACATACACGTGATTATGCGCACCCGTGCCATGATTTTGCGCAGCCGTGCCACCCTGTAGCAGTATTTCTGCTATAGGTCAGCCAGGAAGCTGTTAAAAGACATGTCATTCAAAAACCACACCAGAAAACACAACACAGGTGCATTTTTGTATGCGTTTTTGCCGCATTTCCCATTGCCATCAATGGGAAGGTGCATTTTTGGTGCATTTTTTTTACCGCATCAAACCTGCATCAAAAATGCAGCAAGCAGGACTTTGAAAAACACACTGGACCTGCAACTAATTAGTGCGATGAGTTCCATAGGAATACATGGTCACAGGTTTTTTTCTTCCGTTTTTTTTTTTTTTTTAAAAAACGCAAAAGTGTAAGAAAAAGGGATCAGTGTGAAAGCAGCCTAAGGAGGTCAGTTTGAACTTGTAAACTCTGTCTGTCCGTCTGCCTGGGAAATTCAGAACGTAGGCATATAGCAGGTCTCAGCCTTATGCAGGCCATAGACGGGTCGAAAATCGGCTGATTTTCCCACTGTTAGTGGGTTAATTGGTCAGCCGTTTTTCAGGGTTTTGGCACTTTTTTTTATCAGTAAAGTTGGAAAAAATCGGCCAATTTTGCCGATCGGCCAATTTTCCCGGCAATGATGGGCAAATCAGCCGATCGTTTTACCGATAAAAAATCTGCACATGAGCTGTGAAGAAGTAAAGAGGAAGAAAAAGAAGAAGAAGAAAAGAAGAAGAATTCCAGTCCGCTATTATATTTGACATGAAAAAGTATTGCGGTTGCAACAATGTATCTATTTGTATCCGAATAAAAACATGTTTCCAAAATGGATACAAATAGATACAATGTTGCAACCACAATACTTTTTCATGTCAAATATAATAGCAGAGCTCTCTGCAAGGGATAGAAGTAATTAAATGCCGGCCGTAGACGGGACGAAAATCGGCCGATTTTTTTTTACCATTGGTGGTAACGTCGGCCTATTGAACGACCAATTTTTCGTTTTGTTTTTTTAAAAAACGTCTGGTTTTCTACCCGTCTATGGCCTAGGGTCCTGCATTAGGGTCCTTTCACATGTTCCGTTTTTTTTTTTCATCAGTTCAGTCACGTTTTTTCAAATTAAAAACAGATCAGTTTACATCAGTTTATACATCAGTTTTTTTTACCTCCTTTACCAAAGCAAAAACAGATGCAAAAATGGACCATATGTCCGTTTACATCCGTTTACATCCATTTTTCGTCCATTCCGTTTTCTTTACAGAAGAAAAATAAGGTTTTCTTCTGTTCACAAAAACAGATGTTAGGGAATGCGGACATTAACGGATGAAAACAGATGATCATCCGTTTACATCCAAGTCCATAGAAATAAATGGGTGTCCGTTTTTCATCCGTAAATGGACAGATTAATAAGGACATACGGAACGGCCAAGTGAAAGGACCCTAAGGCTGCTTTCACAGAGATCAGTTTTGGTTCAGCTGTTCAGTTATAAAAAAAAAGTGGAGAAAAGCGAAAGGCTGCTTCCCTTTAAATCTGATGTAGGTCTTCACATTGTGCTTCAGTTGCAGTTCAAAAAAATCCTGCTTGCTGCATTTTTGGTGCAGATTTGGTCCAGTAAAAAAAAAATGCCCCACAAGGGAAATCACAGTGGGGTTAATTTACTAATGGCAATTAGACTGTGCACTCTGCAAGTGCAGCTGCTCCAGAGCTTAGTAAATGAGCAGAAGATCTGCTGACTTCCATCATCCAATCATGTGCAGACTGAAAATGTTGTTTTTTTTTTAATTTTCCCTGCATGTGATTGGATATTCTTGGCAAAGGGAAGCTTGACCTCATTTTCTAAGCTCTGGAGCAACTGTACTTTGCAAAGTGCACAGTCTAATTACCTTTAGTAAATCAACCCCATTGCATTCAGTGGTGCCCTTCTAATCAACTCAGCACGGTGCAATTGTGGAAAAGATTCCTGGTGGACTTCAGTGTGATTTCAGCCTTAGACTTCTATGTTATCTCACAGAAGTCGCATCAGCATAGATAAGAAGCATTCCAATGTGACTTGGATGGATGAAGGATGACCAGGGAGAAGAATCCGTCAATTTTCATATAGCTGTGATGTTGGAGTCTTCCTTTGATCAATTGACCCTTCCAGCAATCGATCGATCCTTTGGTCCTTCAATCAATTGATCCTTCCTTTGATCAATCTTTCCTATTATCAATCGAAGGATCAATTGATCGAAAGATTGGTTGAAGATTTGATCGCAAAGGAAAGATTTCTCAAAAGATCGACTGAAGGAAGGAAGAATCAAAACTGTTTCAGTGTGAACCTAGCCATTAGGCAGCAAGGATGACTAGGGAGGAGAGGTGATGGTTAAAAAAAAACACTGACCCATAAAGGTCCCTCAGGAATGCTTCTTATCTATGCTGATGTGACTTCTATGTGAAGTCTACGGGGCTGAAATTGCACTGAAGTCGGAAAATAATGTGATTTCCCTTGTCATGCAATTTTTCGAACTCAGGCTTGAGAATTTCTAAATTTGCATCAATAGTGGCACTGGAAATTGCATGAAAATCACATTAGAATAGTGGAAACTGATATGGGGAAAAAGCAACTCAAATGCATCAAAAATATATCAAAAACACATAATGTTTTGTGATAAATTTAATGCAGCACGGGAAAAATGCAGCAAAAACGCATATGTGTTATTGATGCAATTTTCATACAAAGCAGCATGAAAGTCAATTTCAATTTTATTATCTAATGAATTGCAATTTGATCAAACAATCAAAGCAGTAAACAAACAAATGGGTACAGCTTCCCTACAAATCAATCTAGACTTGATTTAGATCGTATTTGATCAACAGAGCCATTTGGACAGGGTGCAATATTATCTATCCTGTTGTATTGATTGGATAGGATCAATAAGAATATGAGATTGCATGTTAGAAACAAAAATGCGATTGATAAATTACGATCACATCTTCCAAATTTGATAAATTACAATCATTCCAATTTTCTCGTGTGTGGCATATCAATGGAAAGGCTTGTCGACTATAGATCAATTATTACTATTAAAAGAGTACTTATCGAACTGTATATAGCCACCTTAAGATAGTGTAAGATAAACTAGCTAAAGCACACAGAAAATTCAGCGAAAAATCTCCAAAAATGTTACTCTCCTGCACATAGGAACAAGGTTAGCTATTTTGGCTGGAAAAAAAAAAAGTTTGGTCTGGAGAAAGACAAATCCTTTTTTCTAAAGTCTAATCCCAAGTACAGCACCACCTGCCTGGAGTTTGCATGTTCTCCCTGTGCCTGCGTGGGTTTCCTCCGGGTACTCCAGTTTCTTCCCACACTCCAAAGACATGCTGGTAGGTTAATTGGCTCCTGTCTAAATTGTCCCTAGTATGTGTATGTATGAATGTGAGTTAGGGACTTTAGATTGTACGCCCCTTGAGGGTTAGGGATTGAGGTGAATGTACAATATATGTAAAGTGCTGCGTAAATTGACAGCGCTATATAAGTACCTGAAATAAATAGTAAAAATAAATTTTATTTTAACCCCTTACCAACTCTGAGAGACCCTTTAAGAAGGCTGTAATGCCCAGGAGGCGACATGGTATTGTTATCATGTGACTACTGTGATTGGCTATCACAGTGTTCAAACGGTCGGGAGTCCATCCCACTGTCTCCCAATCAGAAGTTTTGGCACAGGGGCTGTTGGTGATGGCTGGGAGTACTGTGTAGTGGGAGTGCGCAGTGAGCGTGCTCGCATTGCACAACCCTCAGCCAATGTGGATGCAAATGTGTGGCAGCTGGGTGTTAAAGTCCACCTTTCTTGAAGCTGCATGTATGCATTGCACGATCAGCAAGAAGTTAAAACGAAACTTCAACCAAAAGGGAAAGTTCCACTTCTTTGCATTTCCCCTCCCCCTTCTTTCATTATTGGCATTTTGGGGGGGCTGAGGGGAGTACCTGGTTTTGACAGTCAGAACTGTAATTTAGGGATTGCCAGCCTACTTTTATTAAACAAAATCAAAGTAGTAGTTTCCCACGCAGGTGGTTTTTCACCATCAAAACAAAATAATGCCAGGCCACCCGGCTTCCTCTCTTCAACAGTGTCCCTGCCTAGGTCTTAAACCTTGGCCTTTGGCTGGTCCCTCAAACCCCCTCACACATCACCCTTTGTGTTCCTGTGCTCCTCTCTCAGCTCACACAGCTTTCCTGGCTCTCTGTCTTTTTAGTTGCAGCACCCTGCCTACGCCCTGGCCTCTCGTTAGGAGATGTCTTGACACTCAAGCCTCTGAGACCTCTAGAATCCTTCAGTAACCTGGACTCACCTAGTCAACATGACTCTCAGTCCTCCAGACTCATTTAGTGGTCTCAACATTCTCAGTCCTCTGGACAAGGAACCTCCAGTCTCCAGCATGGAGTACTGTCTCCTGAGCAGAGTCCATCTGTGTCCTTACAAGAGCTCTGAGCTATGCCCAAGCCTTAGACCGGATGTGCAAAGCTGCATACTCAGCCTGCTGATCTTCTACAAGACCTAGACACTGGGTTGGAGACTCCTGCCCTCCAAAAACTCTTTGAAGTCTCCAAACTCTGGAACCCAATCTGAGTATACCAGCCCCCAGAGAAAACCAAAAAAGACTA